TCCGTTAGCACCGTTCTTTTGGCCGTTAGTTTGACCCTGTTGGTCCGTCAGGTCATTGCACTTTTTTTACATTCCTGCGCACACTCACACTTGTAACTCATCTTCGCGAAACCTACATACCTACTTCATCATGTTTTTTTTTTTTGCACTTCTTGAACTAATGTCTTACATATCTTACTTGCTGTGGACACCGATTTCCTTCCTCCTGGCACACTAGCAAAGCTACTTCGGCCAAATCTTCTAGGTTTCCATATGATGACGCCCTCCATAGCAATAGCACTTTGGAACTGTATTATAACGCTTGTTTGATTGGTTTTTTATTATTTTCATTTTGTTGTTTTAAATCGCACTACCATATACGCTACCCTTACAGAGACATTCCATATTTGCCCTTAACATTTACGGTTTCTGTTCTTTTTGGAAAATTATTGAAAGTAATAGCGACGGTGATCGCCACATTTCTCTACTCGTACACAAATAATATTTCTTTAACTTTAGTCTAGCATTTTACTTCTATCGACTCGTATTTGGCTTTATACAAAATTTCCCATGTTCTATAACTATCAATTTTATTCTCATATACAGCTTTCATCGGTTTCAATATGACAACAATTTCATTTAATTGCGATATTTAGTTTTATCAATATTTATTTGAAACTGTCATAAATCACCCTTTTTTTGTTATTTTCTTTCTGTTAGAAGTTTTATTATGACAGTAAAAGCGGTTGACAGGGTTGGCAACGTTGGCAGCGAGTAAAATATCGGCGTATGTTTAGTGTTTTATTATTATAAAGCTCAATTACTTCATCCTTTTAAAAATTAGTTTTGCGAAAATGTCCAATTTTGGAAAAATAAAAAGTGTATATTGCAAAGATTTCGTGACATACTCAGAATGCATCTTCACACCATCAGAATATTTAAACGTTATCATTGGCCCCAATGGCTCAGGTAAATCTACACTTGTATCAGCGATAGTGTTGTGTTTGGGTGGTGAGCCCAAATTGCTGGCGCGTTCAAATTTTATCAGGGATTACGTTAAAAATGGTTGTTCATCGGCTAAAATATCTGTAGAAGTTTGCGACGAGCGAAAGAATAAGGGAAGCCTTTGTGATGAAAAATTGGTGGACTTCACACGCGCCTTTGACAAAAACGATAAATCAGAGTATTTTATTAACGGTCGTTCCTATTCACGTCGCGACTATCTAGAGGCGATATCAAAATTTAACATCCAAGTAAACAATCTATGCCAATTTTTACCACAGGATCGTGTTCAGGATTTCGCTAAAATGAATCCCCAGGAAATTCTTTCGAATACAATCAGCTCGGTTTGTAATGTTGAAATATTGGAAAACTTTGAGAAATTAAAGAAATTGCAAAACAATCAGGAAAATAACCAAAGCACTCATCAGAAATTAGTACAAAAACTTGCGGAAAGTAAAAATCGATTTAACGAGGTAAAGGGCGAATTAAATCGGTTTAATGTTCGTCAAGAAACTGAACACAAACTAATTGCTTGCAATATTAAAAAGGTTAAAATTGAAACCGATGAGTTGTCTGCAAATCTTGCAGAACGTACTAAAGACTGCCAATTGGCTGAAAAGCTATTAGCAAATTTTGATAAGGAAAACACGGGAATATATGCAAAACAAACGGAATTTAAGAATCTTGCTACTCAACTAAGGTTACAAAAAGAACGAAAGGAACAAGATTTCAAACAAGCTGAGACTAATAAAGTGAAAATCCTTGAGAAAATCGAACATATAAAGGCAACGATAAATAATAAAAGGATTGAATTTCGGAAACGCAAATGCGAGCAAGCTGAACGGGAAAAAGACTTACAAAATGCTGTACATTTATTAGAAGTTTATGTGCAAGATTTGGAAAATTTAAAAGCTGAATGCTCATCCGACTCTGAGTTAGCAAATGCCTATAATCAGAGCATGGAATGTCAAAAGGTCGAGCTCAAGCGTTTAAATCAAAATTATACCCGTCTTAATCAAAGGCTGGAGGAATTTAGACCGGAAATAGGTAGTCTAAAGAAACAAATTGAAAGTTTGGAAAATGTGGGCGATCAGAAGGTATTGTTCTTACAACAAAATTTTCCCGACGTATGCAAAGCCATGAAATGGATAGAAGAGAACGAGAATTTATTTGAAGCACGCGTTTATAAACCTGTTATGCTTGAGATAAACGTCCGCAACCCTGATCACACCAAATACTTGGAAAATACAATAATGTTCCGTGACTTCCAGGCCTTCTCTTGTGAGAGCAAAAATGATATGAGTCTTTTAATTAGTGAGCTATGTGTTAAAAGGAAATTAACTGTAAATATAGGTCACGCTCCATCGGATGCAAAATTTTTGCCTGTTATTCCAATAATAAATCTTCGCCCATACGGCTTCGACGCTTATATGATCGACTTGATAGATGGGCCCCATGCAGTATTAGGTTACTTATGTTCTTTATACAGATTGCACAACATTCCAATCGGCGGTAATGAAGTTAAAGAGTTTATCGAGAAAATTCCTGAGCCAATTACCGTTTATTTTGGTGCCAATGTACGTTACAACGTGAGCATTTCCAAGTATAGTGGAGAAAAAATTTTTTCCCAAGTGCAAATAGAATGTAGAAATATTCTCCCCAGTATAGATGTGCCACAAATCGAGCAGAAAAAACATAGACTAAGCGAACTTGGACGGGCGATTGATAATTTACGAAATCAAAGAAGTTCATTGGAAGCGGAAATGCGAGAAAAAGAAGTATTATATAAAGAAAAGAAGGATAAATTAAGTGAGATAAGGAGTCGGCAATACGAACATAACCGGAAGATGGACGAGATTCGCAAGTGTAAAGAAAGAGTTACTGACTTAAAAAATCAGCTAAAAGATCGTGTCCTTGAAAGTGATTTAAGACGGAATATAGCAAAATGTTTAAACGAACTTCTTCGCTGCCAAGCGGGAAGAATTAAAGCTTTAAGTTCACTCCAAAAAGCTGCTGCAAACAAAGCATTCTTGCAGGCAAAGTTGCATGTATTTAATACTGAAAATGAGGCATTAGTTAATCAAATTAAAACACTTTTGGAGAATAGAAATTCTGCGAAGGAGAGAGTGGATGCGATAAAGTCAAAATGCGAGACGTTTAAAAGTAAACTTCGTAAAAAAGAAGATGAGATGGCAACGTTGACTAGTAAATCAGATCCCCGTAAAAAGAATTCAATGACTTATCAGTTTTACTGTGATTTGCCCGACAACTATGAGGAATTAAAAGGATTCCTTAACGATTACGCCGCCCGTTTGGATTTCATGGAGGATGTAAATTCTGAGATTTTACGCGAACACGAGAATAAACTTCAGGAGATTAAAGCAATTGAAAGTGAAATTCAAGGTGTGTTGGAGGATAATCAAGACTATGTCGCCAAGATTCGAACTATCTGTGATAGTTGGTTTCCGACTGTAGATCAAGTGATTGGAACCATTAATAAGCATTTCAGCGATTTTATGCGATCAATGGGCTACGTTGGCGAAGTGAGGCTAACACGAAAAGATACGTATGACTTTGGCTCCTTTGGAATTGAAATTTTGGTTCAGTATCGACAAAATGTGCCTTTACAGGCCCTCAATAGGCATGTGCAGTCCGGAGGTGAACGCGCCGTGGCTATTGCTGCCTTTACATTGTCCATGCAGCACATAAGTCATGTACCTTTTCGCTGCGTCGATGAAATTAATCAGGGAATGGATGCACGAAATGAGAGGAAAATTTTTGATATGTTAGTAGATGAAACTACAAAGACCGGGTCCTCGCAGTACTTTTTTGTTACGCCGAAGCTCCTCCGCAATTTAAAGTCTCATAAGAGAGCCTCAGTTCATCTTGTTTTTAATGGTTGCAAGATCGAATCGAAAGATGCATTTATATTTGTAATGCCATCTTAATGATTATATATTGTAATATTTTATTCATACATCTACATAGGCTGTGAAGTAAAATGTTCAAATTGTCGATTCTCGGTTCTGATTTTCATGCTGTGCAAGAATATATCTTTGGAATCAAGAGCGAATCGAAGGCATCCGTCGATACAGACGGACGGACATGGCTTAATCGATTGAGAATCAAGAATATATATACTTTATAAAGTTTCTGCAGCTTCGTATTGTGTGTTGCAAATGGTTTGACAGGATGAATGTCAACTATAAATTTCTGCGTGTGTGAGTTATGCTCTAGACATGGACAAAAATGAAAAAAGCAGCACAAACATTGTACCCAATATTGTAAATCACTCAAATGTCCAATTTTCATTTTTTAACAATCTTTTTTTTTTTAAATAAAGGTGGTGGTACGAAAGATACAATTTTCTAACTTGTTTACTAGTGCCTAACGCTTTTTCTGCAAATGGCAAACTCTCTTTAATGTAAGCAATCAGTTTTAGCAGTTTCTTTACTATATATTTATGCAATTCACATAAATTTGATTTTAGTTGGTTTTTGCTGGTTCGAAATGAAAACGTATGCCCTGGTATTTGAATTAGTAAATAAGTTCTCTTTCTTTATGTACATATAGAATCGTTAATCTTACAAAGTTTTAATGTTTAACATTCAGCAAATTTATCTTCATAACATTCGTTACTGTGTTATCCGTATAACAGAACTTCATCCTCGGTGTTACTAACAACTTCTCCTTTGTGATAGTACTTAACATCAATGTGTTTGATTCAGTTGTTAAGCCAGGGATTTGAAGTTATTTTTAAAGCCCTTTGGTTATTTATTCAAATTAAAAACCACTGGACTGCGGTATTCACAGCACAATTCATTACCAGAACTCACCATAAGATGTTCTATGAGCCACATTTTAACTCCAATCTATATCAACATATCACTTAAGCTTGCCATTACGATAATTTAAGATTATTGGTACCTATTGAATACCTTTGAACGTATTTTGCTGCCGACATATACGCAAATTTATGATAAGTTTTCTGATGAGCCAATTATACAACTGAACGCATGATATCTGGACGGCTTATTATACATAAGTGCTCCTATTATAGATCCATACTCTGTGCCATTTACTATTTTCTTCAATTTTTATGGCATATTACTTGAAACCCTACTTCGAGAGGCATTCCATGTTAGAGTACATACCTGGAGCCCAATAATAGTAGGATCAAACCCCAGCGTACCTAATTTCCATTGCAAGGTGGATTTTTATTTGTTTCAATATTCTTGAACCCAATCACCATATCATCAGCATAAATTCTAGTTAATATTATTATTATCGTTACAATATTTTTTAGTCAAAGGAAATGAATTCTTAGACTAAAACAAAAAACAAGTTGAGCACTACCACAACACAGGGATACGGACTTAATTTAGATGTTTGGCCTGGTAACTTTAATAAAGTAATGTATTGAATTGATATGGCGTTCTGGAACCGATTTGAGGATATCCATAGGATTAGTAGTTTCGCATGCGTTTTTTTTTTAATAGAAAGAAGTTTAGGGATTCACGAAGAAAATGTTTTATTGTTAGAATTTACCTAAAATCCGATTAATTTTCATTTTCCAACTT